GTTTGGTGCAAACTGAGCCTAGGCTAAACTCAGTGACACCACCCTTCTAGCCAGGGCGTGCTTTTCCCCTTTGTTATGTGGGGAAGGGAATGCCCCGGCCGCAGCTGATCAGGGGGGGGTGTGTCGCTGACAGTTTTGCGCAGGCTTAGGCAAACATACCCTTGCACATCACTAGGCTAAGGCTGCCCATACACTATGCAATCTGATTGTACAATCTCCTTCCAGTCTACCATGAAGGCCTGTCTGATTTTCTACGTGCATGGATTGTTTAGAGTCGTCCTCATAATATGTAGTTTTGGTAAAGGAGATTGTGCCATCTCTGTACAATCAGATTGTATAGAACAGAGGTGGGAAAACTCCTGCCCTCCAGCTGTTGTGGACTGCAAATCCCATGAGGCATTGCAACATTCTCACAGCCATGGCATGACTCCCAGAGACAGATGCATAATGGGATTTGTAGTTCCACCACAGCTGGAGAGCCATAGATTGCCCACCCCTGCTCTAGAGTTAAAGGGCCACTTCACCTTTAATGACATGGATTAGGATTTATGTATTCCAGCTCTGATTGTACATTAAAAAGGATTCTTACTTATCAAAGCTGCTTCTGCCGTGGGCTCCCCATCTCAGTTCTGCCTAGATCAGGGGTGGGCACCCCCAGCTGCACTTTAAAGGAGAACTATGGGGTCAAGGCTTTTCCCCATAGTTCTCCTTAGGGTAACGGGAGGACACAAACTAGCGTCCTCCCGTCACCCAGCGGTAGGGTGCCCTATACCGCGAGCACCCTACTGCTGCTCGCAGTGCACTGAGACGCGGCAGCTGAAGCAGATCCCGACAATTGTGCCGGGATCCGCCCAGCTGCGTGACTGACAGCCGGCTCTCCCTCTCTGGAGGCAGAGCCAGCTGTACCCTCCCCCGTCCGTTCCACCAGTCAGCGCTGGCGGAGCGGGGAGGGGGCAATCCAGCCCCTCCCCTGTCACGGCAGAGAGCCATCACAGGTCGGCTAGAACTATGAGGTGAGTGAAAAGCACTCACCTCATAGTTCTCCTTTTAACTACAATTCCCAATATGCATCTGCCATGCCTGTAACTGTCAGTCTTGCAATGCCTCATGGGAATTGTAGTTCAGCAACAGCTGGAGGGCCGGAGTTGCCCACCCCTGGTCTAGATGGAAGGACAGCCCTTCATGATGGAACACTCCGCTATGAACACTTGGCTTGCCGACCACGCATGAGAAGTCCCTGCGAAGTCTAACAGATTCCTCCATCCAAGCTGAAGAGCATGAATGGAGGAATCCACCCTGCTGGCTGCTGTGGTTTGACAACTGGCAGCCATGTCTGTATGATTGGATGCAGTCACTGTTCTGTGACAATTTTCCCACCCAGCTCCTATGACAATATTCAGTTGAAGAATTGAGCCGGGCGGAGCCGATAGTGCAAACCACAACTCAAATGTTGGCCGATTCAGCAGGAGTCAGCTGAAATCCAAGCAGGTTGCTGCAGTGTAGGAGGAGATGGGCTGGGTGCAGTGCTGTGACAGCCGGCCGGCTCCAAGCTTTGGCTGAGCAGAACTTTCTTTTTTAAGCTAGAAAAAATGAGCATTTAATAAAATGTAAAACATTTCCATTTATACAGCCCAGTGATTTGCTTTACAGATGTATTCAGCACGTCGCAAGTGGTGCCTCCTTTATATGGCTGAATGGGCATACAAAGGCAGAAGGAGTAGATGTCAGTCACATGACCTGTCAAAGTCATGTGACTGCTATTTCCACCCATGGAGTGTTATAGGCAGCATTGTGCAGAGAACACTTGGTGGGACCCCTCTGACCGTGACTTGTGTTCTCTGAGTAAGGAGTGAAATGTGGAGTAAGTCCTACAGATAGTGATCTGCGCACACTGCTATAAATAGGCCCCTCGGTATAGGAAGGGGGGTGCAGTTCCTATAGGCAACAGGGTTGTTAAGAGTACCAGTCATAACGAAGCAAGACTGTACATTTGATAGGATTGAAGGAAACCGTTCCCCAACCTGGGCAATCTAATCTGTGCATATGATGAATGACTGCAGACGTTATCTTCAGTGGAAACCACATGTCACAAGGGTCGTTAGATGCAGAAGAAGATGTTCACACCACATGCCTTGGGCTCCGTCTCAGCGCATGGACAAGGCAAGAAGCCTTGTTTTATATTGTCACAGCTCAGCCAGTGTGTACTCATACAATAAGGGCTTGTTCACATCAATCGCAGTGCGTTCCAGAGCGGCAGCTGCTGGAACGCACAGAAATTGCACACTTAACTTCCCTCTTTGTTCTGGGGCGGGAGGGGGCGTGGTGGTGCATTGAAATCAATGACACCGCAGCCACGCCCGCCTGCAGTGCGATTTGACGCATGGTGAAACAGCGCCTGCGTTCCAGTCCACTGCGAATGCAAAAGAATGAAGCATTTCTTTGCGTTCACAGCGGAACGGAACGCAGGCAATGTTTTGCCAAGGATCCGATCGCAAAGGGGGCGTGGCTGCGGAGCCATTGACTTCAATGCACCAACACACCCCCTTTTGCCCCAGAACGAAGGGATAAGTTAACTGTGCGATTGCTGTGCGTTCCTGCAGCTACCGCTCTGGAACACACCGCAATTGGTTTGAACAAGCCCTAAGAGAAAAAAATGAGGCAGGCAGCATGTTATCGTACTGCAGCGCGAGTTGGATAAAGAGAAGGTCATGTGATAAAAAAATAAAACCTAACACATGCAAAAATTTACCACAGTGCACTTTGCCAAAGCATGCTGTGGTGTGACCCGGCCCTTACTGTTTCTCCACCTGCTGGTGATGTAGTCCTGGCCTCACAGATGCATCCTGGGAAGGTTACATCACCAGTGCCTTCCTGGGAAATCTCACCACATCTCCAGGGAAAGGATATTTTTCCCCCTGAGAAGATGTACGTTATCCTATGTTCTAGGAGGCAGACCCACAGTTCCAGGGGGGAGATGGGAGGAAAAGAATAAAAAGCCTGCAATAATCCAGAAGTATGTATGTGTGAGTCAAAAATTATCCGCACTCTGGCTGTAGAATTTATTTGAATCAACTTTTAGAAAAGACAAATACATCATTTTTTGACATGATCTCCTTGCTTTTCAGTACACTTTGTCCATCTGTCAACAAGCTTTATTATTCCCTCATTAGGGCTTGGTTCACACCTAGGAGTTTTTGAGCAGTTGGAAAAGCGCTTTTAACTGCCCAACACGAGAAATCCCATGATTTTCAATGGCCCTGGTTCACACCTGAGTAGAAAAACGCCTGAAAAGGTACATGAGCTCCTTTTGGGCTGTTAAAATAGCTTTTTTGCCCCATAGACTTCATTGGAAATGCTCAAAAACACGCATCAGAAGCATGTACATGTTCGTGAGCGTTTTTGCGCGTTTATACGCACGTTCTATTGCCCACAATGGTTTATGAGCTGCCAAACAAAACGCGCATACAAATGTGCACAACGCGCAGATAACCACATGTTAACGCAGAAAAACAGTGCCGCCTAGGTGTGAACCCAGCCAAAAAAATGTTTTAGGCTGAGCTGCGAGCCCCAAATGCACCCCTGTCTTCGCTTCTTCATCAGAGGTGAATCTTCGTCCTCGTAGTGCTGCTTTCAGGGGACTAAAGCCACATAATCCACTGTCACTCGTCTATTCGATAGAATCATTTCACATGTACCCTCAATGTTGGCATCCATTTTTTTCTCGCACCGCAGTTACAAATGAACTGACATAACACGTTCACACCTGCACAGCAGTGACTGGGGAGACGGTAGCCTTGAACAGAAAGCGCTGATAAGACAGTGCGGCCAACAGAAGTTTTAATATACCCGGCGTGCGGATAATTTTTGACTGTCCCTCGTAGATCGTCATGAATGAATATTTTTAAAGGTGCCTTTGTTGCCATTTTTAAGATAAGAGTAACATTTCCCTTTAGGGCCGGTTCACACCACAAAGTCTGCGTTCCAGAGCGTTTCGGTCTTTGGAACGCAAGCTGGCCGGCTCCCTGCGGGAGGGGGCGTGGCAGTGCATTGAAGTCGATGGTGCAGCAGCCACACCCTCTCACCCGCAGTGCGATCACCCGAACGCGTGGCAGATCAGTGCCTGCGGTCCGGTCCAGTGTGATCTGCACAAGTGCTGCACTGGATCGGAACGCAGGCACTAATGTGCCACGTGTGCGGGTGATCGCAGTCCATTGACATCAGTGCACCGCCAAGCTCCCTCCCGTCCCTGTACACAGGAAGCCGGCCAGCTTTCTTTCCAGAGGCCGAACGCTCTGGATCGCAGACTTTGTGGTGTGAACCGGCCCTTAATGTTGAGCTCTTCCTGCTAATCTTGCCTCCTGAGCTTCCTCGATGGTCATTTGGTCCTTTTTTATAATGGGCAGACCCATTGGACAGTAGGGTTGTGGGGCCAAGCTCAGCTTTCATGGATGAAGTTTTCATCTGCATATGACTTCAGTTGTCCAGAAATCTGGATGTACTCTTCTGTGAAGGTCATTGGCGTGATGCATTTTTTAATCGTGCATCAGTTTGAGTGCCCCAGGTTGGTGATAGTTAAGGGGTTCATGTAAAAACCTACAAATGTGCCGGCATATGTATGAAGGACTTATATTATTATATAGGATTTATATAGCGCCAACAGTTTGCACAGCGCTTTACAATATAAGGAAGACATTACAATCACATTACAATTCAAGACAAGATGGTAAGGAGGGCCCTGCCCCTGAGGGCTTACAATCTATATATGTACATCCTCATAATACATGGTTTTGGTAAAGCTAAAGGAGATTGTATAGCGATGGTACAATCAGATTGTATAGAACAGAGGTGGGAAAACTCTGGTCCTCCAGCTGTTGTGGAACTACAAATCCCATGAGGCATTGCAAGATTCTCACAGCCACAGGCATTACTCCCAGAGGCAGATGCGTGATGGGATTTGACGTTTCACCACAGCTGGAGAGCCGGAGATTGCCCACCCCTGCCCTAGAGTTAAAGGGTTACTTCACCTTTAATGACATGGACTTTGGATGTACATAAATCCGGATGTATTCCAGCTTTGATTGTACATTAAAAAAGATTCTTATTAAAGCTGCTTCTTCCGTGGGCTCCCCGTCTCCATTCTGCCTAGATCAGAGTGGGCACCTCCAGGTGTGCTTTAACTACAAATCCCATCATGGCTTTGGGGGTCATGCCTGTAACTGTCAGTCTTGCAATGCCTCATGAAACACTTGATTGCCCCATGCACACCAATCACTTGGTAGGGCTCAGACCTGAATTCAGGACTCTAGTAACAAACTGAAATATAGTTTCTGGGAGGCACACGGAGGATATTTTTGTACCTAAGGCTGATCATACACTTCAGGTTTTTTTTTTTTTTCAGCCCCATGGGCTAAGTAAGGGTAAGTTCACCAGACATGTGTGTTTTGAAGGCCCATTCTCACCTATGTGCACGTTGAAGTACGTTTTTTTAAGGCCCTACATTAAAGTAGGGATTTTAAGGGCGGGGGCGTGGCTGCGGTGCCATTGACTTCAATGCCCTGCCACACTCCCTCCCGCCCCTAATTGCAGGGAGCTGGCCGGGATACGATACAGTGCGTTCCAGCAGCTAACCGTGCTGGAACACATTGTGTATGGTGTGGACAAGCCCTCGGTCACATGAGCAGTGCTGCGGTTTTTCTGATGTGGAAGATCAGTGTTCAGATAGAGCCAGTGATTGAGGGCTGGAGATGTTTGTATAGGTTGCAGAGGTCCATAGATCTATAATTGTTTCTGATTTACAGTAATTGTCTCCAATTTCATAATTGAATGGATAGCTGATATAGTTACCAAATACTGGGGGGGTGCATATCAATTTGTTTTATTGCCTGGAACTCTCGTTTTTACACTTTTTTTTTTATTTTTAATTTAGAGAAATTCTGATGTATGAAGAATCAAACACTAAGTTGGAAAAATGAGCTTGACATCATGGTTTTTGGTGAGCAGCGGAGGCACAAGGCACAGACTGCCAAGAGAAATGATTTTTGTTGGAAGAGATGACTGCGAGCTAATGTTACAGGTGATTTTCCATCTTTTTACAGCCATGTGCTGCATTAAGTTTTATTCGTTTTCAGCCATTGCATAGTTTTGCATGTCTGAACTTAACACTGAACTCCAGACAAATATAAAAATAAATTGCAATAAATAAATCACATTCATGTTTAAATAATGTTAGTATGAATGCTTTGGTAGACTTTGTTTCCTATTGTCCACATTTCTCAGGTTTTGTTTTGTGTGGGTTGTGGAAAGAAATGTTGTACTGTGCAAATGGAGGATGCTTGCTGCCATAGATACAACATTGTGATCATGAGGTTATGGTTTTTGTCTGAAGTGCTTTATTATGTTCTCCCCCTTCGCCTTCTCCCCCTTCGCCTTCTCCCCCTTCGCCTTCTCCCCCTTCGCCTTCTCCCCCTTCGCCTTCTCCCCCTTCGCCTTCTCCCCCTTCGCCTTCTCCCCCTTCGCCTTCTCCCCCTTCGCCTTCTCCCCCTTCGCCTTCTCCCCCTTCGCCTTCTCCCCCTTCGCCTTCTCCCCCTTCGCCTTCTCCCCCTTCGCCTTCTCCCCCTTCGCCTTCTCCCCCTTCGCCTTCTCCCCCTTCGCCTTCTCCCCCTTCGCCTTCTCCCCCTTCGCCTTCTCCCCCTTCGCCTTCTCCCCCTTCGCCTTCTCCCCCTTCGCCTTCTCCCCCTTCGCCTTCTCCCCCTTCGCCTTCTCCCCCTTCGCCTTCTCCCCCTTCGCCTTCTCCCCCTTCGCCTTCTCCCCCTTCGCCTTCTCCCCCTTCGCCTTCTTGATGCCGTAATCCTTGAAGCATCGCGCACATTAGACCATGAAACTTGAAAATTCAGTCATTGCTATTCAGGTATTTAGATTTACATTCTAAATAGATTTACATTCTAAATGGAGTAAATGGAGCTGTGATAATGATTATTGCAACTTATCTCCTCTGTGAAGCAGTTTATTTAGCTGCGATGAGAAGAGGAGTAAATGTTCTCTGTTTCTCATAGCAGTACAGTAAAAAGCGGCTATTCAGTTAAACACCGACAGCCAGTTTATAAGGGTGCGATAAAAGCAGCTAAAAATCTCTAGATGAAGTAGAAGAATTGCTTCCTCTGTCACCACTCACTAGACCCAGTAAAACACATACAATTAATAATGTTTTTGCATAAACTTGCACACCAACTAATACTTTGTTGCAGCACTTGTCTATCAGCATGGCACATCTTGCCTTGGGAATCTTTGCCAGCTTTTTAGCAGAAGCCTGAAGGTTTTGTGAATTGACTTATATTAAGCACTGTTCATAAGTCTCGCCACCTTGATTAATTATAATGCTGCCACCACCACCATGCTCCACTGTGGGTATGGTGTTCTTTTGGTCATGGGCAGTGTTTTGGAAGTATGGCCAAACATTTTAATCTTGGTTTCATCAGACCATTACACATTTCCCTACATGCTTTTGGCAGACTTGTAGGTTTTTGGAAAATGTTGCTGGGATTGAATGTTTTTCTTAGTAAGAAAAGGTTTCAGCCTTGCCACCCTACCCCACAGCCCACACATATGAAAAATACAGGAGATTGCTGTCAAATGTACACAACCAGTACTTGCCAGAAATTCCCGCTGCTCCTCCTAGGGCTGCAACTAATGATTATTTTCATAATCGATTAGTTGGTCGATTTATTTTTTCAAATAATCGGATAAAAAAATGACCATCCTTTAATTTAAAATAAAATACACAATTGAAGTGTTACAAACATAAAGTTTTACTTCAGAATAAAACTGCTTTTTTGCAATCGCACTGCACTGGAACGCGCAGCATTGCGGTACCGTGCATTCCAGTGCAGGCGATCACACTGTGGGTGGGAGGTGCATTTAGGGTGCCATTGAAATGAATGGCACTGCAATACACCTCCTGCAGCAGAATTTGTCAGGCCGAAACCAAAAATGACTTTTTCCCCCCACCTTTTTGTATATATATTTTTTAATAATTGTATTGTAAGCACATGGTGCTTGGATAGCTTCAGCCAGGGAATAACAGCTGCCAGTGGCAAGATTCCGCAGACAGCAGCTGAATGTAAATACAGCAGGTAGTGGGCCAGCCTGCTATTGGCCATTTCAAATTGCAATAGCAGGCTGGCTATTGCACCCGCCCACTGCTTGCTGTGCCCTCCACCCAGCATGAAGGAGAGAGCTAGGGGATCCAACCAACTAATCGATAATGAGAATAGTTGACAACTATTCTCACTATCAATTATTATCGATTTAATTGGTTGCAGCCCTAGCTCCTTTATTGTTGCTTCTTGGAAGCCACCCGGACCAGTTTTCTTCTTGTTTGCTCATCAATTTTGGAGGAACGTCCAATTCTTGATAATGTCACTGTTCCAATATTTCTCCACTTCTAGATTAATCTTCACTGTATTCCATGGTATATCTAATGCCTTGTAAAAAAATGTGTACCCTTGTCCTGACTCATCCCTTCCAACAACGAGATACCTTTGCAGCTTTGTAAGCTCAGACCATGGCTTTTGCTGTAAGTGACCACTGAGTTAAGGTGGCCATGAACAATCATCTGAACAAAGGCTTAGTGACTAGTTGTACAATCATGTGTGATCTTTCTCAAAATGTTGTGGGAACCATGAGGGGTCACTTTATTAAACTGATCATATACACTATATATTTTGAATCCAGCTAATGCAATGAACAGAAGGCAAGGATTGGATACATCACTGAATACTGAGGGAACTTCTTTTGAGTATCTTCTAGGGACATGTTCTTTTCTGCAATGGCTAGAAGAAGATTCTAGTATTATGACAGCATATACATAGCATAGTAAAGCATAATAATGTATGTTCATCAATGTACCGTATTAATTGGATGTTTGTGTGAAGTATATTGACATGCTGATTTTATTTCTAAATTGTACTTTATAGTCAAGAAGTGTTGACAAGCAACATGCAGTTATCAATTATGAAGCATCCGCAGATGAGCATTTAGTGAAGGATTTGGGCAGTCTTAATGGGGTAAGTATGATTGGTTTGTGTTAATATAGTATTTATATAAGAGGAGCATGTGTCCTTGTAACCTTGCTACTAGGATAGAGAGCTTGGGTTTAAACAGCTGATTGCCAGGCTGGCACATTGTCATGTTGTGGAGAGGAGGCCATTAGAGATGAAGATATATATCTATATATTTTTTAGCAGAGTGTGAAAGATAGTTAACCAGTTGACATCCGCGGTGTTAAACCCCCTTCCCATCCAGGCCATTTTTCAGTATTCAGCGCTGCGGTACTTTGACTGACATTTATTCCGTCATGCAGCGCTGTACTGAAATTAATTTTATACCCTTTTTTGGGGACAGATAGAGCTTTCTTTTGGTGGTATTTATTCACCACTGGGGTTTTTATTTTTTTACTATATTAAGGAAAAATCACCGAAAACAGTTTCCCCTATATTAAATGATAAAAAATTTATTACCCAATTTTTTGGTAAAATATAAAAGACGGGGTCACGTCGGGTAAAAAGACACCAAACATGTCAAGCCTTAAAATTGCGTGCGCGCGCAAAACCTCAAAAAACGATAATACCCAAAATTGGCCATAGGCGACGCTTTAAAAGCTGTTACCGCTCATCAGTTTATTGTTATCAGTGATTGATGGCCCTAAAAT